GTATATAACAAACTCTGTATTTTGAGTGGAAATGTTAGGGGGTCGTCTTATACGCCCAGTTGTCTTATACGCCGGCAAATACGGTAAATAAGAGCTTTCAGGCTTGTCTCTGCCATGGACCATGATCTCCAGTCCTTCAGTGGGAATCTCCTTCTCCTTATTGCTTTCTGAACATAGTGCTGGTAGTGCTTAAAGAGGTTGGTGCATGGGTCCCCAGAGCTGTCCCTCTGAGGAACTTCTCGGCAAACCAGCGATTAAAGCACTCATCATACTCACGCTTCATGTCAGTGCAACCCTCCCCTATGCTGTTCATGGTGGTGGCCTAATTGTTCATTTTTAACCATTAAATATTTGCTGCAGAAATTTACCTGAAGAGATTTCAGGCATCTCTAGTAATTTAAATTTTGCTTGGAATCATAATAACTATCTGATATTCTAGATAACCGTAAAATGAATGAGCTTATCTGTCAATGAGAAGGCATATCTGCATTCTTCAATCAATTTTGGAAGGCTTAAATAAAAGATATAAATACTTGTAAAAAAAGGAGCTGTGATATGATCATCATAAAAAAATCATTGGAAAAATATCCTCAGGTGAGGATCAACAAAAACAAAAAAGCGAAAACAAAAAATTCACAGAACTGTACACAAAAATGCATAAATTTTACTACATGTGAATTATACCTTAATAAAAATATTTTAATTGAAAAGAAAAGATTTTTAAAAATGAATAAAATCTAACACAGAGAAAACAAACAAAAAAAGATGTAGAAGGAGTGTTTGAGTCAGGAAGTTAGCCCGAATGAACTGCCATTGTTCACTGCTTCTCTGGTTGTGGGTCCCAAGAAAGGAGATTGAAAGTATCAGAAGGTGCCTCTAGACATGGGAGGAAAGCCCCACTTAATGAGAAGGGAAATAAGGTGATCTAAGTAATGGACCATATGTTACCAGTGATGTTGGCACCAAAACAGCACCAGTTACCAGCAAGGTTTACCTCGGTTCTTGAGTGTGGCAAAGAAATAATTCAGAGCCAGAAAATAAAAATTATAAGAGAAAGTTTATTTATAAAGTTACAGAGGTAGTAGAAGTGAGCCAGCTTGGCTGTATAGGCTAAGGAAACAAGTTACAGAGGCATAAGAAGGACCCTTATAGCTTAGGAGAGTGAAAGGCAAAGGTAACGTACCTGGGGGATAATTAGGGGGAAGGGAAATGTGTGGCATGCTTCCCCAGAGGGATATTTTGAGCTGGGTCCTTAGTCTTGAGGGTTTTAAAGGCTGGGAGTTTAGGGGAGCTAAATAGACTATTCATCAGCTTTATGCTGATGCCCCAAAATGAAATTTATTTCCCTGACTTTATCTGTCCTTGTGTGTAGTTTGCACCAGTGGCACTAATTGGATTTCTGCTATCTATCTCCCTGAGTAGAGTTATTTAAGCTATTTACTGTATGGTTTGGGAGGAGAAATGTAAACCATTTACTCTTAAGTGTCCTTGATTAGGGAGGATAGGATTCTGTTGTTATTTACTAGATGGCTATAAACTGCTTGGCCATTTAACTATCTGTCTCAGTTTCCCTATTCCACTTCTCCTGGCTTACTAGCCTGTCTCATTTCCATTGACCTATTTTCAATTTTACTTATTCTTTTACTGGCTGCATTGAGTCTACTAATGAGCCCATCTAAGACATTATTTTATTTATGTATGTATTTATGTATTTATTTATTTATTTTACTCACCCAAGGATATGTTTATTTGTTTTTGAGAGAGAGAGAGAGAGAGAGAGATCAATGTAAGAGAGAAATATCAACTGGTTGCCTGCTGTATGCACCTAGACCAGGGATCAAACCCACAACCTAGGTATGCACCCTGAGCAGGAATCGAACCCACAATGCTTTGGTGTAGGGCATGACCCTTCACTTACTTAGCCACCTGACCAGGGAAAAACATTCTTTATTTCTATTAAAGTATTTTTTTTATTTCTAGCATTTAGTTTTTATTTTTTTTCTGAAAGATTCCACCCATCTGCTTATATTATCTGTCTTTTTTTTTTTAATATTGTCTACTTTTCCCATTAGAACCTTCAACATATTAACCATAGTTTTGTTTTGTTTTTTCAGTTCTCCATCTAATAATTCCAAAATTTCTGTCATATCTGAATCTGGTTCTGAAGCTTGCTTTGGTTCTTCAGACTGTATTTTATCATGCCTTTTATCACACCTTGTAATTTTTTTCTTAAAATCTGCGTACAATGAGTCAGGTAAAAAATGACTATAAATAGAGCCTTATTGTGATGATTTATGTTAATCTAGATAAGAGTTGTACTGTATTTAATATTTTTTACAGCCTCAATTTCTTTAGTGTCCTTGTTTTTATTTACCCTCTTAGATTTGTGGCTTCCTTACATACTGATACTCAGAAAGAGTCTGGGTTTTGCAGATATTTCAGTTGTAAGCCACTGTTACAACCAGTTTTTTGAGCCACCATGATGTGGTGGTAGATTTTTGAGGGAGAATGTTCTTTAATTTTCCAGTAAGTTTCAGTCTTTTAGTGGGCTAGTGACTGAGGGCTGTGGCCTTTCCAAAAGTTTCTGTTCCTCCATAGTGGTATAGCTTTTGCCCTCTGCCTCTGCTCTCTTTCCTAGTTGCATCATTCTTAATTTATTTTCTTGAAGACTTGTTCCCATGTTGACTATGCCGTACCCCTACCTTAAGTGAGAAAGAAAGGTTCATAAATATTTTCCCTCATTTGGAATAAGATTTCAGAACTGTACTTTGGAGGGTAGGTTTTTGTTTCCATTATATGAACCTCTCATAATGGCCAGATTAAGCAAGTAGGACAGAGTAGAAAGTGTTGGGGTAGAAGGAGATAATTATATAGCCTGTGATATTCTTAAGATATCACAATTTCACTATCAATGATGCTATTGTAGTCACCCCCCACTAGGCACACGTTATGTATTTCTGCCATTTAATTAAATTAAGAATAATTAAGAGCATGATCAATTCCCCAATAATCTTCAGTTTCTTTTCTTTTGTTAATCCTCACTCAAAGATATTTTTCCATTGAGTTTTAGAGAGAGTGGGAGGGAGGGAGAGGGACAGAAAGAGAGAAACATCAATGTGAGAGAGACACATCAATTGGTTGCCTCTAGCATGTGCCCTGAGCTGGGGACCAAGCCTGCAACTGAGGTACGTGCCCTTGACCAGAATCAAAGCTGTAACCCTTCAGTCTTCAGGTTGACATTTTATCCACTAAGCCAATCTGACTAGGGCAACCCTTCAATTTCCTAAGCAAAACATCTAAGTCTCAAGGAAGATAATTTAATTTGTGTCTATTTCAGTCTATTTTGGATCTACACAAGTTGGTAAAAATTAACATTGAGTCTAACAGATCCTGCTCTAAGATAACCAGGTGGTGTTGCTTGTCACACTGCACATTTTTCAGTTTCATTTTTCTAAAAAAATCAATCTGATAGAGCAGAAATTATTCCTTACCAAGCAGGTTTTATTACTAACTTCTACATGGCTTTGGAGAACCACTTTGTTTATTTATGGGCCTCAGATTTCCTATATGAACAATGAATAGATCAGGCAAGAATCATTTCTAAGGGCCTCTATTTCTCCTTCAAATCTTATATGGTTCTTCCAAATTTCTCTCCCTAAGGCTAGCACAGTGCTGGATACCAAATAAGTACATGAACACAGAAGGAGCAAAATCAGCATTTCTTAGTGCTGGAATAAAATTTCTAAGGACAAAATAGTCAATAATTTGGTAACTATACTTACGTTAAAGTTCTTTGGTGAGTTTTGAATATGAGATTTTTTTTTAAATTTTGTTTTATTGCTTAAAGCATTACAAAGAGTATTACCTATGTCTCCTCCCCCTCCTTGACCTTCCTTCAGCCTCCCCTACCCCCAGTGTCTTGTGCCCATTGGTTATGCTTATATGCATGCATACATGTCCTTCAGTTGATCTCTTACCCCTTCTTCCCACCATCCCTGGCCTTCCTGCTGTAGTTTGACAGTCTGTTCGAGGCTGTCCTGCCTCTGATTCTACTT